GCCATCTAATCAATTCTGACTCACAGCGACCCCATAGGACAGAGTAGAACTGCTTCACTGGGTTTCCAAGACTACAAATCTTGAGGGCAGGCAGCTTCATCTTCCTTCTGCAGAGTGACTGATGAGTTTGAACCACCAATCTCTCAGTTTAACCCACTACACCATCAGGGCTCCAGAATCACCCTTTGCCACTGAGTCGATTTCAACTCACAGTGACCCTATATATAAGGTTTCCAAAGCTGTAAAGCTTCATGGGAGCAGAAAGCCTCCTCTTTTTCCTTAGCTAAACCAGTGGCTCTCAAAGCCCACCAGTCAATAAAGCTTTCTGTTCCCATAAAGATTCACATCAGCAACAGCAATATCAACATCAATTGAAAATGTGTTACAAATGCAGGTACCATCCCAGACCCACTGAATGAGAAACTCTGGGGGAGGGGGAACACCAATCTGATTTTAACAAGGTGACATACATTAAAGTTTGTACACAGATGTACACCTCACAGTAACCCAACAAAGAAGGTACTATTACTATCTCCACTATACTTGCGTAAAAACTAAAACCTTAGAAAAATTAATTTGCGTGTAGCTAGTAGAAGTCAGCCTTATCTAGCTCCAACATCCATGAAGATATCCGGTTCATCAGAATACAGTTGGGAGGTAGCTCTCCAAACCATCCTAGCAGGCCTACCACATGCAAAATGGCACCTATTGCAGTTGTAAAGAGAGAAGTCTGCCTGGTCGTGTTTTGTGGCTCTGGTCCCATCCTTACACATAAACACTAAAGCAGATTCCCTGCATTGCTTCTTCCTGACCCCTTTGCCCAACTGTGAAATCTTACTTGTTCTTGTAGTCTTCCACGGCATCCTGCAAGTTCTTGGCCTCCATGTTCTGGCGATTCCGCTCTGCATTGAGAAAGTCCACTTCCCTCTGCAGGTTGCTGATGTAGTTCTCAAAAATGGGCTCCAAGTTGTTGCTCGAAGTTGAGGTCTTCACCTGCTGCAGTAGCTCCCATTTCGTTTGCAACACCTGATTCTGTTGCTCCAGGAATCGTACCTAAAAGCAAGAGATTCCCAACCCATCCCAGAGTTGGGTCAGGACAGCTCTCTCATGGTTAGAGGACCAGCACCCTCAAGCACAACCCAGACTTCAAAGAATCAAGATGGTTCCTCTAGGGCTCAGAGAACTTGCCCTTGCTTTGGAACCAGGACACAAAGAAAACAATGGGGTTTCTTACGGTGGCCCAATGGCTGTAAGGTCAACTTGCTCAAAATGAACACTAAGCTAACTCTGGATTTTTGCTTTCCTTTTGTTGTGTTGTGCTTTGTTGTTGTTGCTGTTTTAATGTTCTATTGTGAATTGGTAAAAGGCTTACAGAGAATTCATCAGCTTTACATTCAGCAAATCATATACTTGGTTTCATTTCAATGAGTGCTGTCCCCTCAATGTAACATCATCAGTTATCCCACTTCCTTCCTGTGGTGCTTGTTTCCAGTCTTCTTCTTTCCCAACCCTTCTGAATTTTGTCCTTAGTTCAATGCTGCCCTTTTGATCTTGAGTGATTGGCTACTCTATGATGTGCATACCTCACTAGTGTTGTTGCCCCCTCTATATACTTCTCTACTGCTTGGCTGAAAATGGAGCCATGAGGGTGAGTTCTGTTCCAGACCGAAAGAATGACTAAAAGCCATATTCTCCTCAAGTTCCTGCAGTCTCTTTCTGACCAATAACTTCCACATTTTCTCTCACTCTATCCAGGACCTTCTAATGTGATCCCTAGCAGAGCAGCTGGTAATGGTAACCAGGCACCCTCTAGCTCTTCTGGTCTCAGGGTGGTGGAGACTGATATTCACATTGTCCATTAGTCCATTGAACTAATTGTTTCCAAGCATCTTTAATTTTCATCAGTCTTCTTTCCTCCACACAGGAAGAGACCAATGGTGGCACCTAAGATGGCTGCTCATGAGCTTTTAGGAACCCAGTCACTACTCACAAAAATAGAATGTAGAACATTGTCTTTGTGGACTATATTATGTCAATTGATCATTATATTATTTATTAACTGCCGTCAAGTCATTTCCAACTCATAGTGACCCTGTGTAGGGTTTCTGAGGAGCAGTTGGTGGGTTTGAACCACCACCTTGCAGTTCAAACCAACCTTGTGGTCCTATGCTTATTCTACAGTGCCACACCAGGACTCCAGTTTCCTCCAAAGCTATGGTCTCCTTCCCTCAAGGTGTTTGGTAATATCCAAGAAGTTTTTGTGTTTGCCCACTGTATGCCCCACCACATTCATGGATATATTTGCAACAAAGGTAAATACCAATGTACTAACCTCCTCTGTCCACCCTTTATACATTTGTAGGTATACTCCCCCTCTCCCTTCCATGCCCATTCAGCCTCTATAACTCGGGTTTTGAAGGCTGTGTTACCTTCAATTGAGAGTCTGACTTCCTTTAACCACAACCATTTACATTATGGGGCGTTCATCTTCCGCCCTCAGTTATCTATGCCAACATAAAGAAAAGGTGGTTTTGGAGCAACCCAAATCCAATTAACAAATACAACAGTCATTTATTAAAAGCATTTCTTAAATGTTTTGTGGGATTGTAGAGAGGAGGAAAAAAGACAGAATGAAAATTTGACTTAGAAAATTAAAAACTTTGATTCCTGAGTAAACCTTCCAGTCGCCACCACCTCTGCTGTCCTCTGATGTGTTTTTCAGGAAGGTAATCTTTTTTAAATGCCTTTGAAGCCAGGCAGAATTTTAAAGGTACATTTCCTCACTTTGGGGAAAAAAGAAGAAGAAGAAAAAAAAAAAAAAGAGCTATGTAATATATTCCTGGGGGTATAAGGACTTGGGTATTGGTACAGTGATTTGCAAATATCCATGTTTTCATAAGCTCAGAGAATGAAGCTCAGCATGCATTTCACTACCTTGTCCCCAAACTACTTTCAATAAGGCGGTTCCAAAACTGTGGAGGTAAAAGTCAGATACAGGGTTCAGAGGCTGACCAGGTGCCAGAAAAAAAAAAAAAAAGGCATGAATTGTCTTTTCTCAGGATAATAATTGACCCTCACACTACTTCTACCAGTTGCCAACAAATGCGACCCCCTTCCCCTGCCCTGGGTAGAGATAAAAGGTTTTCTCTGTGACTTTTACCCTGCAAACACACACACACACACCTCCAGAATCTGGCTCCCTTCTTCAAGAGCTTTGTGCACTTGTGATAACCACGCTCTTACAACAGAACTCAGGAGACACTTGTCTGCTGTGTGGCACCAAGGAGGGAGCCCAGAATTCCCAGCTTGCAGACTACCCTTCTAATAAAAGGCTATTGTTGTTGTTAAGTTCCGACCCCATAACAACCCTGTATATTAGTCCACCAGGACTCCTATGAGGGGCTGTTGTTGTTGTTGTGATGTGCCGTTGAGTCGGTTCCAACCCATAGCATCCCTGTATAGGGTTTCCAAGGAGTAGCTGGTGAGCTTGAACCATCAACCTTGCAGTTCAAAAGGCTTTGCAGTCCAATGCATTAGTCCACAGCGCCAGGACTCCTATGTTAATTCCCTCTGAGTTCTGACTCTAGGCTAGAAAGTACTCGAAAAGGACACTATTTCTGATGGCTTATTTTAGTTGTTGTTTTTTTGTTTTTTCAAAGCTAGAGGTTAAGCAACCAGCTTTCACAGGCTTGTCAGCACAACTCATATGAGAAATTCCTGCCACCCCGGCCTATTTTTACTCTGTGGTGTCACTCCCAGGGAGTGGAGAACTCCATTTGACACTAACTCACAGCTCTGCGCTCAAGTTGTGGGGGCCAAAATAAAGTATCTTACAATTTGGTGAGCGTCTCCACTAGAACAACCAGACAAATTATAATTAACAGGCAAGTTTTACTGATTAAACCACTAGAAAAATAATTAAAGCCATTTTACTTTCCTCTCAGATTCCCCAAAACACTCAGGCTATGTCCCAGCAGCAATAATCAGGGGACACAGATGAGTTTCAGCATCATGCTGAACTAACCTTCTTACCGAAGAAAACAAAGCCCACCGTCTGCCCCTTGTGCCCACTTCCTCGTGCTCAGGACACTTCAGAGCATGGCCTTCCAGTGTCGCCCTTTACTCACCCTTTAGAACTCAACAAAAATGTCAGCACCTCCCTGTTGTCTCCCCTTCATTGCACCCTGTTCTTCTTTTCTTCCATAGCCTGAATTAAGACTTGTAAGCATTTGGTACTTAGCATCTGTCTCGCACCCACTGGGTTGTGAGCCTATAAAGGCAGGTCTGGAGACACACACTGCCCAACACAGAAAAGACAGTTAACAAATATCATGGGCTAATGAAATACAAAAGGCTTACCTGCTGGTTTGGGCTATCTAGACTACTCACTACCCTTTAAAAACAAGGTTTAAATGACAGTTAAGCAGGAATGCCCTTCTGGGCCACACCCCAGAGGCCAGGCCAGTGTCCCAGTATGAAGATATGGCTCTCTCTTTTTAACCATGAAGTTGATTTCCCTTGTCATAGTCTTTGATAACCTTTATCTCCATAATCACCTCCATCCAAGAGTCCCAACCTAAAACTTGAAGGCTGACCCAATTTTTCATTCAACACATATTTATTGAGCAATTATCAAATCCCAGGTGCCATTCAAGGTGCTGGAGATTCAATAATGAACAAAAAGACCAAATTCCTCCTTTCTGGGAGCTGACATTCTATTCAGAGGCAACTTTAAAGAAACGAATGTGAAATATGTGCCAAAGGAGAAGAGATGTTGGATGGAGGATGCTACTTAAACTTGAGTGATTGGGGAAGGCTTCACTGGGACAGAGCCTGGCTCATTTGAATAAAGACCTGAAGGAGCTGAGGGAGGAAGCTGGACCTCTCTTTGGGGAGAGAAGGGTTTCAAGCAATAGGAACAGTGTGTGCAAAGAGTCTCAGATAGGACCCTGGTCAGGTGCAGAAGGATGGTAATAGGCAGAACAGTGCTTGTGAACAAGAAGAAAGAAACAGATGAAGCAAAGTGGAGGCAGCAGAGCTACTGGGTACATTTAGGAGTTTGTACCCATAAAAACTCCAACATATTGCAAAGTGGACTCCAATTCATAGCCACCCTGTATAGGGTTTCCCAAACCCACAAATCGTTACAGGAGCAGAAAACTTCATCATTCTCTCATGGAGCAGCTGGTGGGTTAGAACTGCTGCTCTTCAGATTAGCAGTTCAGTGTTATCAGTGCTCCATTTGTACCCTGTTGTTGTTAGGTGCCATGGAGTCGGTATCAACTCATAGCAACCCTATGTACAACAAAACGGAATACTACCCGATCCTGGGCCAACCTCACAATCATTGCCATGCTTGAGCCCATTGATGCTACCACTTTGCCAATCCATCTTGCTAGGGCTCTTCTTCTTTTTCTCTGACCCAACATTTGTACCCTAGGGGGCTAAATTTCTAGCCTACACTCAAGTCACTAAACCCTACAACTTGAAACCTGCACCACCCAGTGAAGGCAATGCTGCCTAATGCTCACAAATGCATGTCAGGGCTAGCAGCAGCTGTGACTTGAAGCACTAAATCTCATAGGGCCAAACAAGAGGAGGGTTTTCCGCTCTGAGTAGCCAACAGAGAATTCACATAGAGATGTGATTATGTCTTTAAAGGATGCCTGTGGTGCAGTGTTGAGAGGAGTTTTACAGGGTTAATGGTGAAAGCAGGAAGGCCACGATGTAGGCACAGAAGCCTGTTCCTTCCATCAAGGGCCCACCTGGACTGAGGAACCTCTCCGTGTGGTCATCACAGGCCATGGCCCTAAGGGAAGGATAGAAAGCTACAGTCTCCTCACCTTAGTCTCTATCCACAATCAATGTCATAAAACCAAATGTGCCCTGCAGGTACCATAATCAAACGAGTGTCTCAGGTGATGGGTTTCCAGCAGCCTGTGGTCATTTCATTGACCCGTAGCCCTCCCTTCTCCCTGCTCCTCCAAACTTGACTTTCCAGTAGTGCCTCCTTCATCTGTCATCTTCTTGTTCCTGCCTATGCCTCAAGTGTGATTACATTCAGCCCAATCTCTCAGCCTATTGATCAGAAGCAGCCAGAAGCACTTGCCCTGTTAGAACCTTTTTGAGGTGTCTCTGGGCCTCAACACTCTTAATCCTCCTCCCTCTACTTTCAAATTCTGTCCTGTCTCCAGCATTTGTCCAGCTATCAGAGGCCAGCTGTGCAGCTTAATGGTGGGCTCTGGCCATAGTTAACTTGCAGTCAGAACACAGGGCAAGTTCTGGTCTCAACACCAAACTACCATGGGGATCAAAGGAAAGACACTGAGCATCCAGGGCCTTTGTGCTTCCTACCTCATTCCTAAAGGTAAAGTGCTTTCTGGGGCTCCCCCAGTGACCAACAGTCATCTACCCCCAGACACAAAAGTACCTACCACATAGTAGATTCGAAATTTAGTGTTTATTGAGTGGGTGTTTGGTGAATGAACGGATGGATGGATGGGTGGGTGGATGGATAGGTGAATGGTTACATAGATTGATCAATTGATGGATGGAAATGAATAATGAGTAATTTAATGAGGTTACTGTACCATCTATTTTGTCTATTGGGTATTTTCATACCTCTTATCTGCTTCCCTGCCAAGAGAAAAATATAAGAAATAATCCCCCCAAGAGGTCAAACTGAGGCTTACATAAAATTAGTGCTTTCCTGTGGTCCTAGGACATACATCTCTGGAAGTGACTGTGATCACACCAGACAGTGACAATGTAATGTGATGAGTTGTGTCAGGGTACAAGGCCCTCCAAATCATTTGGTTGGTGTCCCCCAACTCTGCCTATCCCTGAGCTACTCACCTTATCAATGAAGGAGGCAAACTTGTTGTTGAGAACCTTGATCTGCTCCCGCTCTTTGGTCTTGACTTTCTGAATCTCGGGGTCCACTTCCAGGTGAAGTGGCTGTAGGAGGCTCTGGTTAATGGTTACCTCATGAATGCCCCCCGGAGGACAAGAAGGACCAAAGCCCCCAAGCCCAAAACTGCTACCCCTAAACCCAGAACCACCAAAACTACCTCCTCCATAGCTACCTCCCCCAAAGCTTCTGCCCCCTCCAAGCCCTCCCCCTGCACCCCCACCTTGGCAAAAACCACTGGTACTTCTCCCCACTAGGTTAAAGGCGACGCCTCTAGTGCCAGCCAGATTGTAGAGGCTTCTAGAAGAAAACCTTCTTCCATAGCCCCCATAGCCACCACCACCACAACTCCCTCGAGCCTGATACAGAGATCCCAGAGCCCGATTCCCGCCACCAGAGGCTGAAGAGCCAGCACTACAGGCCCGCCTGCTCCTTGAGCTAAACGCAGACTGAGAACTAAATTGGCGGCTCATGGTTGCTGGAGCATCCAGAGATGCAGACAAGAGAAAGGCAAGTGGAAGGAGGCAGCAGCCAAGGAAAGAAGGAGCTATGACTCCTTTGGTAAGAGTCTGGCTCTGTCCCTATATATATATATATATGCATTCACTGGGCTGGGCAACTTCAGCATCCTGGGAGGGGAGTATTAATGTTTAGTTTGCCTGCCAGCAATGTCTGTTCAAGAGCTCACACCTATGAGTTGCAGAAATTGCACTGTAGATAAACTCCCCCAACTTGATCATTTATCATTCATCTCTTGCCATTTAGAGACCAGAGTGAAATCATCTCTCAGGATCAAGTTGCTGTAAACTCCTAGATAGTTTCCCCAAAATCATTTGCTGATATCTTCCTAAGAAACTCCACCATTGTGTTGTTGGTTTGGGGGTGTGCCTGGTGATACATAGCAAAGCTGGGGGGTATTGAGCAACCTGGGAACCACAGCCGGGACAAGGGTGGAGACACTGCTCCCCCAGCAATGGCCTGGTGGGCAAAGCTTTCTTCTAACATCCCACACCTTGTTTCTGTTCCCCACTGGTACCATCACAATGCACATCCCTGAGTTCATCACAAGAAAACACAAGACTGTGGTCGCTGAGTGCAAGTGGAGCCCAAGGGACTCTTCTCAAGGCTGCTTGCATTTTCCTGGGTGTATCTCTTGCTGCTCTGTAATCCTCAGGCTCCTCAAATACTAAACAGATGAGGTCCATTGGTACTGAAATTCTGGTTGTAGATCCACTGAGCATCTGCCAGTACCTACCATTGTCTTGTAAACCAGGAGACAAGATATCCCAGAATAGCTTTGGATTTTCATTTTCAATCTGTTGCAGATCAATAATTTCCTGAAATGTAATTATCAGAAAATGAAATTTAAAAATACACAAAATACAAGACCCAATATATCCTTTTTTGAGATTCAATAGAAAAAAGAATTGTTCTGTTGCTAATATACTACATATTAAATACGCATGCATGTGTTTCCTAAGAGTTTACTGTGAAATTCTGGACTTATCTCATCATAAACCAGTAATAGCGAGTGCATGGCCTGACACTGGCCTTGGAGAAACAATGTCCCAGACAATATGCCTGGTGTGAAACCTAGAATAAATAAATGTCCAGTCTCAGAAAAAATGACTTGTGATCTGGTGTTAGATAAAAGAAGTAGAAAGAATACAAAATGATGTCTGTGCAATAAACTCATAAGAATGAAGAATACAAATAAATAAGAAAGCAGAAAAGGTAGACTTAAAAAGTAACATAGAAAGTGAAGCTATTTATTAAGGATTGCAAAATGTTTTCTCGTCTTATTTTAAGTTTTCTTTGCCTTTGCCTTTTCTGCAGTTCGTTTGTTTTTTTCAAAAGTTGGGGCTGAACCCTTCAAGTCTGGAACTGAACTTGCCCCCAAGGCTCAATTTTCAGTCCAACAATAGACAAGTCGTTAAGGAAAACAATAACCCTGGGAAGGTATGCACTCCCTAGAATAATCAACCCTTTGAGATCAAAGGGACAAAGTTTAGTCGAATTAGGAAAGAAAGGGGAATGGAAACAAGAAACACAGGGAGCAAGTGAGGTGAGTGATGCCACATGGTGGGGATTGCATTCAATGAGATGAAACAAAATGTGTATGAATTATTGATGGAAAACTGGTTTGCTCTGTAAACCTTCACTCAATTCACAATAAAAAAAAAATCAAAATGAAAAAGAAAGGAAGAAGATCCAGGAGTAGAAATCATCCTTTGGACCTGGGGTCCCTGTGCTGGCATCCTCCTACACCCAAGGGTAGATTGTTGCCAAGACATGTGGAGACCTCCAAGGAATCTTAGGCCCATAATTGTTGACAGGACCTAAGAAAATTTCTCCAGAGGCAAGAAAGAAAGATATCGGTGTTCTGAATTCAGACTTATATCCTCCTAAATACTGAAAGAATACATTATTGTTTGCTAAAAAAAAAAAAAAAAAGTTGGTACTAAAATCACAGCTGCCAACAGCTAGATAGGTGGGAAGAGGCAAGAGGAGGGAAATAACAAGAATGAGTGTGTGTAGAACAGCAGTGAGAAGAAAGCATCTTAGAGTGGAGAGGCTCTGTGGTCCGCCTGTGGGCAGTTTCAAATCTCCACGCCTTGTTATTATCAACCTCTGCTTTCTCTGCTTGGTAACTGTTTAGTGGACTGTCTCCAGCAGAAGAGAATGAGCCTGATAATTATATTCAGAAGAGCTGGTTTCCCCTCCCAGCCCTGCTTCTTACTGGCATGTGATGTTAGATATGCTGTCTATCTATCGCTGAACCTCAGAGTTCCGTGTGACAATGCATATGGAAAAAACAGATACATAAATAAACAGAAAATGATAATACACTACATAAGCATAAATATAGATGCTGATAGGTGCTGGAGAAGTCTCTGGGTGGCTCAATGGTTAAGCTCTGGACAAACTGAGAGTTTAGCTGTTCAAACCCACCCAGAGGTGCCTCAAAATAAGACTTGTTGATCTGCTTCTGAAAGGTTACAGCCTTGGAAACCACATGGAGCAGTTCTACTCTGCATACATAGGGTCACCATGAGTCAGAATTGACTCCCTGACAACTCACAACAACAACGACAACACAGGTGGTGGTAGAAGGACCAAGTGTTCATTTTGCTTTGGACTTTCAGTGCTAAAACGGGTCCAGCTCTATTCTAGACCTGGACATCCTCAGGGAGACAGGATCAGTGTCTGAGAACAGAGGGCTGAGGAGAGTCAGTAGAGCCAAAGGCACAAAAGGGAAACAGAACTGTGAATCGGATGAGTTATTCTGAGAAAGCTGCCAGGAGGCAAGGATTCTGAGTGAGGTGTCACGGGCAGACAGAAGAGGCAGGGAGGTCTGGCAGAGATAAACAGGGTGTTTGGGAGAAGGCAAAGGATGCCTTTATGGTTCAGTAGTAGAATTCACACCTTTCATGTGGGAGATGCAGGTTTGATTTCAACAGATGGGGAAATGAGAAATATATAATTTGTTCAAAACACACAGATGAAAATGGTGAAACGGGAATTGGAGCCCAAGTGTTCCAATTCAGAGCCAAGGGTGAAGAGCGCCCCACATTCCCTCCCCATCTCTCCCCACCAGCCACCCGTGCTCTCCTTACAAGGACAGTGAGTGGGAAGTCAGTTGAGGGCTCCAGCTTGCCAGGCCTGTCTCCCAGGTACTGAAACCCAGGGCTGCCAATAGGGTGAGGCTGGGGTAGTTATCAACCATCGATCACAGTCTCAGGTAGCAACCGGGGGCAGGGTTCTAGAGTAACTACACCTACAAATGTGTTCCTCGCCTCGCCCTGCATCTCCCATGTCAGGAGATGGGTCTGACAGGGCAGTAACGAGGTGTGGCAACGGTACTGGGCACAGGCAGGGTCCCTGGGCAAAGGAAGAATGCCAGGGAGAATCTCACCCACCAGCCTCCATCTGAGAAAGAGGGGAGAACTAATGTAGGTGAGCTGCTGCTTCCCTGCCCAGCTCAGCATCCCCAGACTTGACACATTAGTACCTTGGAAAGAGCAGCAGAGGGGAGACAGTGATGTAACAAAGACCAAACAAGAGCAGCCTCTCCAAATAAATAGAAGTTCCTAGCTTTCTGTTCAGGAACCTTGGTGGTACAGTGGTTAAGCACTTGACTGTTAACTGAAAGGTTTGCAGCTCAAACCTACCCAACAGCTTAATAGGAGAAATACTAGCAAACTGCTCCTGTAACAATTACAGCCTAGAAAAGCTTACAAGTACTTCTGTTCTATCACATGGGGTCGCTCTGAATCAAAACGGATGCACCAGCATCTAACCACCATGCAGCAATCACTAGTCAGAAATGGACACATGACAGACATCATTAATCCAGTCTGATGAAACAGGTGCAGAGAAAAGGGGATAACTTGATGAAGGGTACAGAGAAAATTGGTGGTGGAACTAAGACTAGAACTCAGGTCTCCTCCCTCCCAATCCGAAAAAGCATGGTGACACCTCTGAGAAGTTTCCAGGCAGACTGCATGTTCCTGCAGCCAGAGAAACAGCCTATTTGGGAACCTCATTGTCCAACTCCAGTCTCTAATAGGCCCTCCATACTGGGGATGGGAGATAGTGAGGGTTTACAGTGTGTATTTGGGGATCCTCCCCAGCTCCCCAAACCAACCAGGATCCCACTCTGCTACCCTGCTGACCAATATTCCAGTCTGCCTGGAAACTGAGGATCAAACTCTGCAGGAGCTCTTGAGGATTGTGGAGAAGTCCTGGAAAGGTCTCAGAGCGGTCCTGCAATTCCCATGGCCAACAGCCAGGGATAATATTGTCCCAGGCATATTACAGCTATTCCATCCAACATGCTTGGAGTCATGACTATTTATACACCCATCTATTAAACTGGCAACTCTCTCTTGTCTCCAAGGCAAAGGGAGCAGCTGAGCAGGCGTGGGCCTGAAGGAAAATAAGGCTGCAGGTTAGACTTGGATAGAATTCCAAGAGAAACAGTGTGCTCCCGGCAGAGGACTGGGTTGCCTGGATCAAAGAGAGAGAGGAGACAGACTCAGGGTTGGAGGACTAATTAATGGTGGAGCCGTGACCAGGGTTCTAAATCCATGGGGGAATATGAGACCTATGGGAAATTCTGAGTCCATGTCTTATCTCACCCACCCAGGGAGAGATTAGAGTACTAGACAAACATAAGGAATTAGCGATTTATTATTGATCCCTCAATTTAACAGGATTTAAAATTAGGTTCTTGAAATGTTAGTACATAAATAGTAATAACCCTTGATGGAGCGCTTACAATGTGCCAGGAGTTAAACTAATGACATCATTCAATTCTCAAAACCTCATTTTACAGATGAGACACAGGAGTGGGTTAAGCATCCTGCCCGTGATCCTAACAGCTTGTAAGTGGTGGGCCCCAGTTGGCACCTGGGCAATGTGACTCAAAGCTTAAGAAATTCTCACTAGGACAATTATTTTGTACTTTATG